TCGGGAAGCTTCCTTGGGGCCGGGGGCGGCCGGCAGTGGCGGGTTCGGGGTGGGTGGTCTCGGGGGTCTCCCTGCCCTGGGGAGCGAGTGGTGGGAGACAGTGCCTGACTCTCCTGTGCCCACAAGGCTGGTGAGCTGCTGCCTCACGACTGCGTGCTGTGAGGACCTCGCTGCAGCCCTCAGCGCCAGCGGCTCACTGACCAGACTCTATGTCGGGGAGAACGCCCTGGGTGACGTGGGGGTCAGAGCTCTGTGTGACAGGGCCAGCTGGGCAGAGTGTCGCCTGCAGAAGCTCGGGTGAGTGTCGCGGGCCTCGCGGCCGGAAGGTGGCCTGGGCGGGTTGGAGACGAGTCTCGGCAGAGGGCAGCAGCCGACTTCTGAGTGGTCTTAGGCACCAAATCCATATGAAATGGTTGGTGCTGGACCTGCAGGGCCACAGCACAGCAGGTTGTAGGTTGACCTGCCAGGGCCAGCGGAGGTTGAAAAGGCCGTCTGTGCTGAGCCAGCAAGCTTGTCCGTGTCCCCTGGCAGCCCGGTGTGAGGCACTCGGTGTGACAGGCACTCGCTCGGGGACCCCTGCTGCCTTGTGTGTGGCCCCTGCACAGGACAGTGCTGGGCCCCATGCAGACTCTCTGGCTCTGCGCTTTGGTCCTTCCCAGGGTGGCGGGAGCAGCTGCAAGCCCAGGGCCCCAGTTCCCCTCTCCACAGGGTCTCTATGTCCTGCCCGGTGACCCTGACCCACCTTCCCTGTGCTGCTTGGCACATGGTGCCCGATGCCTGCCAGGGCGAGGCCCCTGGGTCCTCATGCCGTGGGCAGTCACAGCAGGTTTTTGGCTCTGGGATTCTGCCCTAAGGGGTAAGAACACAGACACCAAGCAGCATCGCGCAGGAGTCTGGGATCTGATCCTGTGCTCCACGTGGGTAGTGGCAGGTGGACTCCTAAGTGACACAAAGTGGCCACAGGGCCTCGGGTTGAGAGGCGTGGGGTTCAGGGAGTGCAGAACCTCCCCCTCCAGGACAGCTGCCCCAGGACAGCCCCGACCCAAGTGTGGGGCGTGGTTGACTCTGAAACTCCAGGGGCCCTTGCTTAGGAGCCAGGGCGTGTCCCTAGGATTCTCCCCAGCTCCTGGGTGTCCTGAACAAAGGATGAACTGGGCTCTGGAAAGGCAGCGAGGGCGAGCATTTATTGAAGGTGGAAAAGCAGCACGCTTGCAGGGTGAGTGGGCCAGGGGAAAGGTTCACAGAGCAGAGGAGAAGGGAAAGGCATGTTTTGCACCCCAAATTCCTGGGGTACTGATCTCCCTCTCATGCAGATAAGGTATCAGGACAGCCCTCACTTCAGGTACTCACTTGGCATCAGCCGTGTGTCCCATCAGAAAGCTCGTTTGGGTTCCTGCCATGTGTAAATGAAAGACCAGCCAGGTGTGGTGGCACACACGTCTGATCCCAGAGCTCGGGAGTCTGAGGCAGGAGGATCTCAGGGGGCTCGAGGCCAGCCTGGGTTACATAGCGAGTTCAAAGCCATACTGGGCTACATAGCAAGACCCTGTCTCAAAAGAAAAAAAAAATCAGAACAGTGTCTTTTGATTGGTTGTATCCATATGCAAATGAAGAGTTGAAAAGAGCGTCTTCTGATTGGTCCTTCCAGTACATCCGATTCAAATGAAGGATTGAAAATAGTGCTTTTCTGGTTGGTTCTGCGTAGTGCTGCAGTTGTCACCCTATTGGGAGTGCCTTGCCCCCTGAGAGTGTCCCTTACCCTGATGCCCTGTCTTACTGTCACCTATGCATTTTTGGATCTTGATTCTGCCCATACTATCTATAAATACAGTGAGCAAGTTGCATATGGCTTTTACTCTGCCAGCCAGAGCAGCATTTAAGACAGTCACAGGAGGGAGGGACTTTCCTGAGCAGGAACCAGAGGGCAGCATTAACCGTGCGTGCCCCACACTCTGCCAGTCCTGGGCTTGTCCCCTGAGCCCTGCTGCAGACACCACCAGGCCTGCACACTGCACCTGTGTCCCTCTGTCCCCTTCTGCTACTCCTCAGCACCTCAGCCTTCTGTGACACTGGTTTGTCCAGCAGATACACTTGGCCCTTGGGTCCCAGGCCCCTGGGCTTGGGGTAGATTGCAGAAGGGAGGACAATGGACCAGACCCTGTTTTCACACACATTCCTGTAGGGAGGAGTGACAGAATGAGCAGTAGACAGTGACATGTCACACTCATCAGCACTGTGATGACCACTGGCAGGACCAAGGGCCACTGCTTTACTGCCTTCAGTGAGGAGAGGCACTGGAGCAGGTGCTGGTGACATGTGGCTTGGCCAGGAGCTGGGAGCAGCCCTCTAGGTGGAGCAGAGGGCACAGGCCCAGGCGTGGGCCTCGGCCACCCTCAGAGATTGGCTGCTCCCCACTGAGTCCTCCCCACATCCCATCTTGGTTGACCCCTGCTGCCTTTTCTTCCCTTACTCCTCCTCTGAATGTCTTTCCTCTCTTGGCCTTAGAGTGCTGCTGTTTTTCTGTTAGTTTTATAGTTTCCTCCTCCATGCGTCCTGTGTTGGCCTCTCTTCCTGTGGTCTGGGATTTCACCACCAGTTCCTTTTTCTTCTCAATCTTTGTGCACTCTGAGCTCTCTCATGTACCAAGCAAGGGCCTGCACACATGGCGTTCCCCAAACAAGTCTCAAACCCTGACACCACTCATGAGTTTTTTTTATTGCAAAAGTAACACATGCTTAGTGTAAACATCAAGGAATATAGATATGAGATGCACCACCCACCCCCTCTCCATCCACCCACCTATCCATTGACCTATCCATCCTCCCATCTACCCATCCACCTGCCCATCCATCCATCCACCCACCTACCTATCCACCTACCCATCCATCCTCCCATCTACCCACACCCCATCCATCCACCCACACATCCAAAGACCTGCCCATCCATCCATCCACCCACCTACCTATCCACCTACCCATCCATCCTCCCATCTACCCACCCATCCACCCATCTACCAAGCCACCCACCCATCCATCCACCTATCCATACATGCACCTACCCATCCATCCTCCCGTCCACCCACCAGCCCATCCATCCACTCACTCATCTGTCTACCTGCCCATCTATCCATCCAAACATCCACCCATCCATCTACCTATCTGTCCACCCACTCACCAATTCATCCAAACATCCAAGCATCCACCCATCCACCACCCATCCAAGTATTCATCCGTCCATCCACCCACCCAACTGCCCATCCTCCCTAGTGTACTCTACATATTAGTTTGCTAGGGCTCTATAACAAAGTTCCATGAACACAGTGGCTTAAAGAGCAGTCACATAGTCTTACTTCTGAGCCTGGCATCTGGCATTAAGGTTGGGGCAGGCTGGTTCCTGCTGGGAGGAGACTGTTCCTGGCCATCTTCCAGTGCCTGGTGGTCTATGGCGGCCTTGCTGGGAGCTGCCCCACCCTGGTGCCTGCCGTTGTTCTTGTGGACTCCTGTGCTTGTGTCTCACTGTGCCGAGTCCTTGCTCTGATAAAGAACCTGGCCCTGCTGGGTTTGGGCCACTGAGTGCTCATGAGTCTACATCCACCTAAGGTCACCTTCTGAAGGGCTGGAGGCCAGGACTTCAGCACAGGAAGTTCTTTTTGGGGGGAGAGTACAGTTTAACCTGTAACACTCTATTTAGCAATTCAAACCAGAACCATAATAGAAATGCTTTCCTATGATTTGCATTTTTCATTTGTCATGGATAATGGGTACATTTCCATACTGATATATGAAGACCTGTAGATTGGGGCATAATATTCCATAGAATGCATGACCACAGTTCATTTAGCCATTCACCAGATAATGAAGTTTTGAGGAACCTTCTGTATTGTTATGAATGACCCTGTGAAGAGCATGTTTGGATACAGAACCTTATGCAGGTGTGATTATTTCTTTAGTGATGGGCAGCATAAAGTGGAATTAATGAGTCAAGAACTTCCCGATGGTCACATGTTCATGCTGCTGTCTCAGGGGATCCTTCTGGGTTTTTGTTTTTCATGACTCTTAGACACCAGAGCACTTGCACACGTACTGGCAGAGGGAATGTGGTCACTCGAGGTGTGCCTGGCTCAGGGGTTTCCGGTTCCTGCTTCCACTGAGCTGCATCTGAGCAGAGCAGCCCAGTGATCTGTTTCACATCCCTCTGATCTTGGTGGTAGAACACGCTCAGCTAGACCTGTGTATAGCACATCAGAAACTCCCACTTTACACATCTTCCTGAAAAACCACAGGCTTCAAACTGTGGGGAGTGCTGGGTGGGCAGAAGGAGCCAGAGAGGAGCTGGTGGGGAGGGCGGTGGCATTGCTGGCCCTGCCTGGCCCTGGCTCCTACCACATGGCCTGCCCTATTTCAAGGCGTGCTGAGTTTCTGGAGGGTAAAGTCCCTCTCTGCATGTCCTGTGCTTTGTCTTTGAGTCACACACGAGTCCGTAAGTCTCAGATTTGCACGCTACAGAAGGTTGACGTAGCAGCACGGCTGCCTCTGCAGGTTGTACTGGAGCCACGCAAGACAGAGCAGGGTCCACGGCCAGACAGTCTCTACCCGAGGCAAGTGTGGGACCGGGTTAGTGTGCCTTGCTCTTCCCCTGTGTGAATCCCAGCAGGGTGACCCCGCCACCATCCCATCTCTCAGAGGGCGAGTCACGGTCCCCTCAGGTCACGTCCAAGATGCTCTGTCAATCTCTGGGTTCAGGAATGCAGCTGTTCAGCTGAGTGGCCCTGTGTTTGGAGCTGTGCAGCATTGGGTTCATGCCAAGAACGCTCTTGTTCTTTATTTTTGTTTTTTCCAGACAGGGTTTTGCTATGTAGCATATAGCTCAGGTTGGTCCTGAGCTCACTAGGTAGCCCAGATTGGCCTTGAACTCAAGGTGATTCTCCTGCCTCAGCCTCCTGATTGCTGGAGTACAGGCAGGCACCACCACACCTGCCCTCTGCTCTGTTCTCTTCACAGCTTGGTGAATTCCGGGCTCACGTCCTCAGGCTGCTCTGCACTGGCCTTGGTGCTCAGGACTACGAAGAGCCTCACACACCTGTACCTGAGGGGCAACGCGCTCGGGGATACAGGGCTCAAGCTGCTCTGTGTGGGGCTCCTGCACCCTGGCTGCGTGCTTCAGATGCTGGAGTGAGTCCCTGCTTCCCGAGGCACAGGGACAGGCAGGGCAGGGGAGTGGGAGGTCCCCACCTGGACACACTGTATGCTGGAAGGGCTCTGTCCTGGGGCAGGGTCGTTTCCAGCTCCAGGCACCAGGAGAAGCGTTGCTTGGTGGCAGAAAAGTTGAATGCTGAGTTCCTTCCACCACCTCCAAGGAGGGATGGATGGCTTTACATTTTATGGAAATTTGGGGAGAGACAGCATTTGAGAACAATCAGCCAACAAGCTTGTGTTACTTATTTGACCTGTGTGATGCAGCAGACTTGCAAAAGAGCTCCGCCTCTGAAGAGGAGAGAAAAATAACTATTAGCATGTAGGTTACATCCAGCTAGCTAAGCCTGTGATTTTTTTCTCTTGCTTTTTTTTTTTTTGGTACCAGAGATCGAACTCAGGACCTTGCACTTGTGAGGCAGGCGAGGGTACCACTGAGCTAAATCCCCAGCCTGCTTGCTTTTTTATTTTGTTTGTTTTTTTGAGGCAGAGTCTTTCTATGTGGTTCAGGCTGGCCTTGAACTCACTGTGTAGTCCAGGCTGGCCTCGAATTCATGGTGATCCTCCTGCCTGAGCTTCCTAAGTGCTCGATTACAGGTGTGCATCACCATGCCCCACTAATGCCCTGATTTCCCCACAGCAGTGAGTGCACAGGCTCACGTCTCAGAGCCTGTGGGCCTGGCTCAGAGTGCGTTTTCTGCAGGTTGGACAACTGTAGCCTCACCTCACACAGCTGTTGGGACCTCTCCACGGTGCTGACCTCCAGCCGGAGCCTGCGGAAGCTGAGCCTCAGCAACAATGACCTGGGTGACCTGGGGGTCATGATGCTCTGTGAGGTCCTGAGACAGGGGGCCTGTGTCCTTCGGAGCTTGCAGTGAGTGTGTGGCTCGCCGGCAGGTGGGAACTTGGGCTGGGGTCAACCAGCCGCCCAGCCTGGATGTCTGGGTCCCTCTGCCACAGCTGGTGATGGTGGGGGAGCCCTGCTGCAGGTTCTTTCCAGTGGCGTCTGTAGAAACAGCTGGTTCAAAACATAGTGAGCTGGGGGCCGAGTATTTAGCTCAGTGGTTCTGCCACCTGCCTCACAAGCACAAGGATCCGAGTTCAACCCCCAGTACAAAAACAAAACAAAACAAAACATAGCGAGCTGTGCACCACGGCACATGCCTATAGTCCCAGCAGTTTGGGGCTGAGCCCAGGCGCTGGAGGTCAATCTGGACAACAGAGTGAGGCTGTCTCAAAAACAAACCAACCCTGGAAACCACATGGGCATGAGACAGCCTTTGGGCTCAGAGGGTGGGGCCAAGGGAAGTGAGGTGAGATTTTAAGACTCAAAACTGGGGGCTTTCTGAAGAGCATGACCCAGCGTCCTCTCTGCATTTCCAGGTTGAATGAAATGTATTTCAACTATGCGACCAAGTGTGCATTAGAGACACTGCAGGAGGAGCAGCCTGGGCTGGACCTGGTGTTTGAGCCTTCGTGGTAGGGCAGGAGCGGGACGGGCCCCAGCCACCCCGCGTTGTGACAGCTCGGTGGTGCATCGAGGAGGATTTGGCTCTGGTTCTGTTGCCACCACAGGGGAGACATGCGTCTTGGTCCCACCTGGGGGCGATGGCAGGAAGGGGAGTCGGGGAGACGCTGTCCCAGAGCACCTGCTCAGCGGGGAATGGGCTCTTCCTTTCCCTCCTTACCCCCGCTCTCTCTCTGGTTTCCCCTTATTCAGCTGCTTACTCTGTGCCCCTTGTGTCCCTGTGTCCCTTAACTGTCGCACAGAACCCTGGACTCCATGCTGTGCTGCAGTTTTGTGGCAGCTACTTATTTATTTTTTATAACAATTATGTTTTCTAATAAAAACAATTCGTACTTATTTTAGCTCATTGAAAATTCAGAAATATATAAAATCATTTTTTGGTATTGATCAAGTTAAATTTTCTTCATTAAAAAAATGTGTCTAGAAATCTTTTAAATCATTGATCTCAACTCCTAATGTAGTTTACAGCCCATCCTCTGCAGCAGCGCTCTGCGGCCCGGGACGGAGGCTGGCGTGCAGAGCTGTGACCAGCGCTGTCTTCCTGCTGCAGCCTGTCCCGGTGGTCACAGGAGGCCCCGGCCGAGCCGTGGGGACAGGGTGTTGTTGGGTGGACACACGGGAGAGGGGCAGGGCACCCACGGGGTGGACCCAGGGAGGGTGCCGGCTCCCGGGGTGGACAGACTGCCTGGCTAGGAGCGAGAGGCTGGTCTGTGGTGAGTGTTCCATATTTCATGACCCCAGGGGACAGCACCAAAGACGCCTGCTGTCCCTGCCCTGTGGAGCCCATTCCCTGCCTGGCCCACCCTTTCCCTTCCCGAGGCGCCAGGTCCCACTCCAGCATCAGCAGGCAGCGTCCCCCGTCCCCCTGCCCTCCTGTCCTCCACTCTGCTGCACTGCTTCCCACAGTGCAGTCCACCGGCCAGGCCAGCGGCCTCCTGGCCCTGGGGCTCTCAGAGCTGTCCCCACGGCCCCTGCCCCAGGTCACCCTGCCTCTCCCCACCCTTGTGTGCCGCCTGGAGATCCTGAAGCTGACTTCACCTCCCTGTGTGGAACGTGGTGCCTTGGCGTCCACTGAGCCATCTGACGTAGTTAATGTTCTCTCCCCTGAGCAGACAGGGATTTCCATTTGTTCCGTCACTGCACACCACAGTGGTTCCTTGTTTCTCAGGTCTCAGTAGCGTGAGAAGCACATCTTACAGAAACCTCTCTGCCTGGCTCCACGCTTAGTGTTGCTTCCGTTCTTTATTGACCTTGTTACCAGGGTTGGAGCTCTGGAGGGCTGGGAAGCACCCACCCTGAGCTGCAGCAGACGGTGCAGCCTCAGAGGCTCTGACAGGCATCGGCTGTGTCCCTCGCACACTTGGGCACAGGCAGCCCCCACTGACTGGTATGATTTTCAGTGTGTCCGACAGTGCGTTTCCCCTCTGCAGTGCAGATGGGAGGGCGGCGCCTGTCTGACTCTGAGGGTTTAGCAACAATCAGTGGCACAGTCTCCACAAAGGGTGCACTGCCTTGCCTGTGACACAGTCCACCCCTCTCAGGGATCTGATGGCTCAGGGCCACCCCTGTACCTGTTGGCTTGCAATGCAGAACACGCAGGCAAGCTGGTTACCAACAGGCTTGGAGGCTGAAAGTCCAAACAGAACTTCACAGGCTCTGTCCAAGGTCTCCGAGGGAGGAGGAGCGTGGGCAGCACTGCACCTGGAAGCAGGCGCTGGCTCAGGGAGCAGCTGAGGGCAGCCAGGGGCACCCGTAGCACCTTCTGGGTGCACCCCAATGACCTGGGGACGTCCCACTGGGCCTCGCCTCCTGAAGGTCCCCTCAGCCCTTCGCCAAACCTCAGGCAGATGGGCCTTGTGGTCTTCCAGACTCTGCGCTCTGGAACGGAGCTTCTGCCCAGTGGCCCACTGTCTGATCCTGGTCCTCTGTCTGCACTCACTCCCTAGGGTTTTTAAAAAAATATTTTGTTTTTAAATAGAAGGAAAAAACAGAAACAAAGCTTTTGTACATAGGGAGGGGAAGGGGCTTGAGGGGGGAATGGGATAAAAAAATAAAATTTATTAACAAAAAATACAGAAAAACACTAAAAAGTTTTTGTTTTTATTAGTGTATGTTTGCCGTACATAATGATTATGTTCATCAAGGGGCGCTGCATGCATTAACCCTCAGTTAACTGCCCTGCCTTCAGACGTGGCAGGCATGGTTTCTGCACTTCCTCCTCCGTGTGCGTGGATGGTGATTTCTGATAATCACGATGACTGACCACCGACTTGGCTTCCTCCTGGGGATCTATTTTCCCTATTGGAGGACTCTCCATTCTCTTTCCCACAGTGGGTGGGCCCACTCATATCCCCCTAGTGGGGTAGAAGGACCCCTTTTCTCTGGTACTAGTTGTTTTAACTGAAGTGAGGTGATAGATTTCCTTGTGGTTTTGAGTTGCATCTCCCTGATGATTAGTGATATTAAGCATTTAAAAACACTCTTCTTAGTTATATGCATTTCTTATCCTGAGAAATATCTATCAGCTCATTTGTTGACTTATAAATTGAATTACTTGTTCTTTTTTATTTTGCTGATGAGTTGCATGAGTTTCTTAAATGCTTTGGACACCAGCCCCTTGTCTGATGAACAGCCTGCACACATTTTCTCCCATTCTGAAGTTGGTCTCTCCCCTCTGAACCTTAAGCCCCTTGCTGTGCTGAAGCTGTTCAGATTGCTGTCCTCCCACTGACCTGTTGTGGCTTTGTGGCCTGTGCTTGTGGGGTCCTCTCTAAAAGCCTGCTGCCTGTCCTCTCTCTGTTTCCTTCTGTTAGTTCCCCAGTGTCAGGTCTCATGCTTGGTCTCTGATGCATTCTGAGTTGAGTTTCGTGTACACTGACGGGCAGGGATGCAATTTCATTCTTATGCATATTCAGTTTATTATGCATATGCATATTCAGTTTTCCCAACAGTTTTTGAAGAGATTCTTTTCTCCAACCTTTGTTCTTGGGCATCTTCTCATAAGTGAATGCACTGTAAATGTGTGGATATATTTCTGGTCTCTCTATTCTCTATTGATGTGTGTGTGTGTGTGTGTGTGTGTGTATGTGTGCACATGTGTGTAGTGCCATTTCCATGTTATTTTTAGTACTCTAATAGCTTTGTAGTACATTTGAAAGTTACTGTTATGCCTCTAGCTTTGTTCTGTTTGGTCGAGATTGCTTTGGCTATTCAGAACCTTTTGTGGCTTCAAATGGATTTTAGAAATCTTTTTTCTATATATGTTAAGCACATTATGAACACTGGAATTTTCATACAGATCATAGTGAATCTGTAGGTGGTGTTGGGTAGTATGGATTTTTAATTTTGGTATTGGGAATCAAACTCAGGACCTTGTGCTTGTCAGATAGGCACGGTACCACTGAGCTACATCCCCAGCCCAGTATGGATATTTTAACAGTGTCCATTCTTCCAACCCATGAATGGGGATGCTTTTGGATTTATTTGTGTCTCACTTAATTTCTTTAGTCAATATTTTATAGTTTTCAGTTTGTCTTTCACCTGCAAAAGTTTGTAAAGAATTTATTCTTTGGTGGTACTGCATGAGATTGTTCCCTCAATTTCCTTTTCAGATAGTTCATGGTTTATGTATAGAAATGCACTTAGTTCTTGGGTGTTGATTTTGTGTCCTGTAACTTTCCTGAATTCATGTATTAGTCCCAACAGTTGTGTGGTGCATGTGTTCATGCATGTGTGTAATATTTAGGTTTTGTATACGTAAGATCTTATCATTTATAAATGGGCAGTTTAACTTCCTACTTTCCTACCTGAATGTCTTTTATTTCTTTCTCTTGCCTAATTGCCCTGGCTGAGATTTCCCCCTTTAGTTATTTACTTCTAGTTTTATTCCTCTGTAGTCAGAAAAGGTACTTGGAAAGTTTCAGTCTTTCACAACTTGCTGCCACTTGTTTTGTGACTCAGCATGGTGTGTGTCCTGGAAAATATTCTGTGTCGCTTGAAAATATTCCATGAGGCTGCTGAGTGCAGTGTTTGTCCCTTGTGATCTCCAGTGCCCTGCAGTGGGCTCTTTCCTTCCGGGTCCTCTGCTGGATGCTCTACTGATGGCTGAACTTGGGGCACCTCTGCATCCTACTGTTGCCACCACCTGTTCCTCTCCCCACTGTCCTCTCCCCAGTGCTGCTTCATGGGTTTCAGTGGTCTGGCACTGTATGCCTGAATATGTATGCTTTTTGATGAACTGACCGTTTTATCATTACGTAGTGTTTTTCTTTATCTCTTCTGGTACATTTTCACTTAAAATTGATGTTTTCTGATTTGAATGTGGCCGCTCTGTCTCTTTACTTCCTTTTCAGCCTGTGTGGCCTTATTCCAGAGAGAGTCTCCGCAGGTGGTGCATGGAGGCCTTGCTTCCTGTGCATCCAGATATGATCTGCCCTTTCCAGGGTGTTCAGCCATTTCCACATCAGCTGATCTCTGAGATGAACGGACTCTTGCAACTGTCTTTCTGTCCAGCAGCTCTGTCCCTTTGTCCCTCTCTTATGTTTCATCTATTTATTATACCGATGTGCACCGAGTCCCTCCCTTTTTAAAGGTATCATTTAAAGGTATTTTCTTTGCAGCTACAGTGAAGTTATCTAAACTTTCTTTTAGTGCTACCAATCTATTTTAAAGGGGACAGAATTTAACTTGAACTGTATGCAAAATTTTGCACTTTAATTCAGTCTCATCATTTTGTGATTTTGATGTCACAAATGACATCATTTAATATTGTTAAGCCATTTACATATTCTGCAATGATAGTTTTTTTGGTACTGGGGATCGAACTCAGGACCTTGTGCTTGCCAGGCAGGCGCTGTGCCACTGAGCTACATCCCCAGCCTCTGCAATGATAGTTTTTTATGCTGTTATCTTTTAGCCTCTATATGGAATTAAGAGTGGTCAGTGTACCACCACTGAACTGTGTGGTATTCCGTATTTTTCTATTTATTTACCTTTTTCCTCTTGCATGCTTCCTTGGTTGCTGTGTAGCTTTTATTTTCTTTCAGCTTCAAGTAGACCTCTGAGACTTCCTGGAAGGCATATTGAGAGGTGATGAATTTCCTCACTAGTTTTCCTTTCATGTGGGAAGGTCTTTACCGCTCATGCATTTCCAAGGACAGTTTTGTCGGATACTGGAGTCCTGTTGATGTTTCTTCCTCTCCGCACTTTGAGTGTACCACATGACTTCCTTCTGGCCTGCGGTGTATGCTGGGGAATTTGTTAAGTCTCACGTGGGCCCCTTGAGCATGGTGAGTCCCTTTTCTTTCAAAATCCTTTGTCTTTGACTTTTGACTGTTTGGTTACGATATGTCTAGATGTAGCCTTTTTGGGATTCATTGTAGTGAGATTCAGTGCACTTTTTAAAGTCGTAAAGTCTTGTCCACTTCCTACTCCAGTTTTGGGAAATTTTGGGCCATTTCTTGATTCTGTAAGCCTTCTGGCACTTTCTTTTTCTCTGCTTTTCTCCTTAGTTTTATAACAACCGTGGTCACCCCATGGTGTCCTGTAAGTACCTTAGGCCTTCTTCCTTCTCTTCAATCCCCACTCTTCTCATTGTTTGACTTCAGACGCTTTTGACTTCAAGTTTGCTGAGTCTTTCATTTGTTTGATCCGGTCTCCTTTTGGACCCTTGTGGGAATTTTTCATTTAAATAATTGCATTCTTCAGTTCTCAGACATATTTGGTTCTGTTTTATATTTTCTGTATTTTTTTTTCTTTGGTACCAGGGATTGAACTCAGGACTGCGCTTGTGGGGCAGGTGAGATGCTGCTGAACTAAACCCCTGGCCCTTCTGTATTTTTTTACACCCTCACTTTGCTTATGCATCGTCCCTTGGCCTGCCGTGCATTTCGATGGTGGCTATTTCCAGACCTTTGATGATGGAAACCTCCTTTATTTATGATACCTGGGGAATTTGCTTTCCCAGTGCTTGGGCCATTCTCCCATTTCCTCATCTTCCCCGTGACTTTGTTCATGCCTTTGAGAAGGAAAGCAGAGCCCAGGGAGAGCAGGCAGGCAGGCGACCCTCCCTGCTGCCCTTCTGCGCAAACCTGGGCCGGCGCCTCCCTGGCGGCTCGCCTGGTCTCTCGCGCCCCCTGGCGTCCTTCCAGAGTACCACGGGCTGCCGCCTCCCCTCCCCTGGTCTGCAGTGGTCCCTGGGCTCCTGTGTTGCCAAAGCATACAGAACATCTCAAGTCTTGAGTCTCACTGTAAAAGTTTATCCACATTTTTCTCTGCTGCCTCTGAGCGTGTCCAGTGAACGTGCTTCAGTTTGCTCATCAGTTAATTAAATGTTCCTCCTCCAGCCTCGAGTGGTATCCATACTTCTGAACTCTCCCTGGTCGGATGGCAGCTCTGGCTGAGTCCCGGGCCCTGTGCTGAGGGGCTGAGAACAGGCATCTGTCCCCTGTGTGGTCGGGGGCCGCTGCTTGGCATCACTGGGTGGGTCCAGGAAGGGTGGGAGCCACAGGGTCGTGTGCCTCCCTCTTTCGCTCTGCCAGTCTTTCCTGGTGCCTCAGGCTCCTGAGAGGTGAACTGCAACTCATGGGGAGCTGCAGTTTTCTTTCACACTCTTTGTGAGAAACCTAGAAATTCTTTCACTGATCTTTTTAAAATTTTTTGGGTACTGAGGACTAAACCCACACCCTTTCAAAAAAAATTTTGAGCCAGTCTCAGTAAGTCACAACATTGCCCAGGTTGGTATTGAATTTAAATTTTCCCGCCTCAGCCTCCAAAAGTGCCAGCAGCATAGCGATACAGGGGGAAGAGACGCAACTTCCAAACCTGCCAGGTATGGAAACGCCAGTTCGTGTTCTCTAAAATCGAAGAATGGATTCTAGGAACAACGGAGGTGAAGAGCAGGGAAATTTATTGAGAGAAAGAGAGCTTCTGCCTAAGGGAGACAGAAGGGGACCAGAGAGTGGGGCGCCAGGGACCCTATTTCCCAGGGGGGTTTTATGGAGCAAAGCCAGGAGGTGAGGCGGGTTCAAGGTGGGACAAAACTATAAGACCCAACGGAAAATTCCAAGGTGGGCATGAGGTGGGGCAAAACCATGACCGACCAATAGGATTACAAGTACAGTCACCCAGGTAATATTGATTAAATGGGGATCAAATGGGAAAACAAGTCACATACAAGGGATTTCCCATTTAGAAAATCAATCACTGCTATCTATCCCCAGGGGAAGTAGTACCTCTTTTCCTTTTTCCATAATGCTAACCAGTGAATGGGCCTCAGTTGTTCCCCATGTTGGCTCCACCCTGTGTTGGTTACTTGAGGGCTGTGGCCTCGAGGGCGGCCCTGTCTCACTGCCTACAACATATCTAATTAAATTACCTGTCTACAATAATAGGTCTGCAGCACCACACACCTCATGGCCTCTTCCGCTGCATCCAGTGTCAGGCGAGTCACTCAGTCCTCGTGGACAGCACGGAGGTTGGTCTCCATCTCTCACTGCAAGGCTGGAAGGGAATCTGAGCCCACCCTGAGCTAGCGTGTCTCTGCTGAGGCATCAGCCTCAGCACCAGTGTCCCCTGGGTGTGAAGACACCTTTATGGTGAGTCTGTGGGGCCTTCACTGAACTTCGACCACCTAAGACCATCGCTGCAAAGCTGTGCCCACCACTCTTTCTCTGCCAGGAAATTCTCTGCACCTTGCATGACTGTCCAGAAAAAAATCCTCTGTGCCTTGGTACTGGGACAGTAATTATTTTTTTATATTTCTTAAATAAATTTTACAGCACTGTGGTTTGTGCAGAAAGCCTTCCTCAGTTTCCTTTTTTCCTGATTTTCATGTGTTTATTGTGATTTTCCAGGGTCGGTTCTGTTATTGTTTGGCATGGACAAGGCAAGAGGATTCAAAATGAACAGATGGAAATGAACCTGTAACATAGAGAGGAAATGCACACGCACGCCCCTGGAATCTTGGCTTGGCTCCAAAAGCAGTGGCCAGCATGGGTATCATGGGAAGCTCACACCTCAGCCCCCAGAGGATGGTGACATGGTCAGGTTGGTGCAGCCTCTGACAGCCCAGACCTCACAGGAGCTGGGCTGGAACTGCCAGGGCAGCTTGTGAGGCTCTGTGCACATCACATGAGTTGTCATGCACAAGCACACTTCCATGTTGCTGGCATCTTGGAAGCCACCTACAAATGCTATTATCGGAACTACCCTGAACCGTGTGTGTGTGCATGTGTGTGTGTGTGTACATGTGCTGGGGCTGCACCCAGGGCCTCCCCTGCTAAGGGAGTGCCCTGCACTGAGCGACACTCCAGACCTTCAGCTTTTTATTAAAAGTTTTTATTGTCCTTAATATTGACTTTATTTACATGATCTTTTTTAAGATAAGAGAATGCACTATATTCGTTAGTATCATGGCACCTCACGAGTCCTTCCGCCATGGTAGATCTGTTGCCCTGGAGCCCAGCCAGTGTGGAAAACCTTTCTATAGAAGGAAACCAAGAGAGAAGAAGCATTGTTGATGATCATGAAAGAAGAAAGGAACCCACTGCATTCTTGTCATATTTTGAAAAACTCATATAAACCTTATGGAGATTAAAATCCATGGAGAACATTCATTTATCATAAGTAAGATAAGCATATATTTCAGTGTCACAGTCTGTGAACTTAGGAGTATGGGGAAAGGAAAGAAGAAGCTTAAAAAGAGAGAAGTGGGAGAAGAGCAGAGGAAACCTAGGAGAGGGGAAAGGGAAAGAGCCAGGAATTAAAAATTAATTAAACTGTTGTGGCAAAGGGAGTTGAAATGATCTTTCAGAGACAGGAGAGTTGGGTAAAACAAAAAAAGAAGTTTATGTCAGGCAATGGACAGCCTCAGGAAACAAATCCTTATAGGCTGACCATGAGTTAGGACAGTTTCTCCTTTTTATATCTCTTACAGGGTGGCTTAAATTGCGGTTACATAGCAGAATGTGGCAGAGATGTGATAAAGCAGCAGTAGGTGGCAAGAATAGCTTAGATAAACACACTTCAAGGCTGGTTTCTAATCTCTCTGGGAACAGGCTGCCCCACAAGAGGGGGAAGGCTCACCCAGAGTTTTCAAACATGGACAAGTTTCAAACAAGTTTCAAACAGGGTTTTAGCACAGAGTTTGTTAACAAATATTTTACAATAATTATCCATTCCAAGTTATGTTTGGCAGCTCTTTTCACTTCAAAACCAGCAGGTGCTTATGAACACTGGGTTGTCTGAGCATTTGGGGACAGCACCTGGTCTCTGAGAATTGCAGCTTTGGATCTGACTTGATCCACGGTGGGGCTCACAGGCTCTGCGGCCACAGGGAGGTGAGGTGTTTGGGGTAGGGGCTTTGGGGCTCCCCAGCCCTCAGTCCTCACTGCAAGGCCATGGACTCCCTGGTGCGTGGTGCTGTGGCACACGGGCCCGCCCGCACTCTCTGTGGGTGACGAGGGCCACAGCTGGGACACGCACACCTGCACAGCCTGCAGGTCCGCACCAGGAGCCTGCGGAGGGCGCCCTTCATGTCCTTGTTCCTCAGTGTGTAGATGAAGGGATTCAGCGTGGGGGTGATGATGGAGTAGAAGAGGGAGATGAACTTGCCCTGCTCCTGCGAGTAGTGGGAGGGTGGCTGCAGGTACATGTAGATGGCGGGCAGGTAGAAGAGGGACACCACGGCCAGGTGCGATGAGCAGGTCCCCAGGGCCTTGTGCCGGCCTGCGGGGGCCCGGACCCCGAGCACGGCACGAGTGATGAGGCCATAGGACAGCAGGATGAAGGCCAGGGGCACCAGCACGAAGAAGGCCACCAGCACCTCCAGCATGGTGTCGTTCACAGCCGTGTCCGCGCACGACAGCTGGATCATGGCCGGCACCTCACAGAAGAAGTTGTTCAGCACGCGCCGTCCACAGTAGGGCAGCTGCACGGTCAGCACCACCTGCACCAGGGAGTTGCCAAGGCCGCTGAGCCAGGCCAGGGCCACCAGGCGCCGGCAGAGTGTGCGGTGCATGATCAGGGCATAGCGCAGGGGCTGGCAGATGGCCACGTAGCGGTCCAGGGCCATGGTGGCCAGCACCACGCACTCTGTGCAGCCCAGCCAGTGGAAGACCGCATACTGCACTGAGCAGCCACTGAAGCTGATGGTCTTCTGGGCTGTGCCCATGTTGACCAGCATCTGCGGCACCGTCGTGGTGGTGTAGCAGAGGTCCAGGAAGGACAGGTGGCTGAGGAAGACGTACATGGGGCTGCTGAGACGGCGGTCCAGCCAGGACACCAGGATGATGGAGATGTTCCCCAGCATGGCCAGGACGTAGGACACCAGGAGCACCACGAAGAGCGGCAGCTCCAGCCACGGGCGGTCCGAGATGCCCAGGAGGACGAAGTCCACAGGGGGACGCTCTGGGAGGCTCTGGTTGTAGCCCTCATGGCACGGCATCGTGGGCCCCTGTGAGGGTGGGACAAGTGGGGTAAGAACCTGCTGAGGTGTGGTCAGCTGTGCACAGTCCTGGGTGGACCCACCTGGCCTTGGAGCTGGCCTGTGCTCTCCGCTGCCCACTGCATCACCTCCAAGGCCCTCAGTTCTCCCGAACTCTTATTCCCGCCATATTGAAAGGGGGGCAGCACTTGCCTCTGTTGCTGAATCTGGGGCTGGCAGCGGGATGGCAAGTCAGCAAAAGCCCTCCACGGTGGGGTCCTCTGTGATGCAGGTCAAGGCAGGGACAGCCCTGCTGGCAGGGAGTGGCCGCGCTCACTGCCTCTGGGGGTGGTGGCGGGCAAGGGGCAGGGACACCCAGTGCGAAGGCCCAGTGAGGGTGAGCAGGGGCTGCGGAGTGGCCACCCACCGGCCCTCAACCCAGGGCCGCTCTCATCTGTCCTCATTCACTCTAACCTCAGGCACAGGAAGGAAGCCGTGGGCCTGGGAAGGCAGCAGCCTGGGGTGACCCAGCCATGGCTGGGTCAGGCTCCCCCAGAGCCCCCGTTTGCCTCCTCTCTAATCCAGGAAGGGCACAGGCCGTGTGATTCTGGACACCTTTGCTGCCACCGCATATTCATGGCATCTCTTTTTGAAACAGGGTCTTGCTATATAATTCAGGCTGAACTCGAACTCACAGTGATCTCGCTGCCTCAGCCTCCTGAGAGCTGGGATTACAGCTTTCCTGGTGTCTTTCTCCCGAGGTCCTTTGTCCCAGCCCTGTCATCTCTGACACACTCTCTGCCCCACCAAGCCCATGAAGGGCTGCTGCACTGTCGTAGTGCAGAGAAGTTCAAACCAGCGCAGGTAACAGGAAGCTCTAGATCCCGGGCTCCTGCTTGATTGCAGCGAGTGGAGATCTGCTGGCTTCGCTGTTGCTGCAGCGCATGCCCATGCCCGGCAGGCCAGCTTCCAAGGAGCCCGCTGCTGCGCGAGGAGACTCGGAGCCCAGGTGTGAGGGACCCCACCCACCTCCCTCTCCTTCCCTCCTGCTGGGGTTCCAAGGCAGTGTTCCCACGGAAGCACCGGAAGCACCGCACCACGCGCTCCCCCTCCCTCCCAGGGCTCTGGAAGGACCTCAGGTGAGACCGCGCAGGAGGCAGCTCTCTGAGGGGCCAGGGCTCGTTCTGGCCCACGAGACGAGCTGTGAGCTGTGAGCTGTGGCCGGCACGGCCAGGCGGGCACTTGGGGCAGAGCTGGGGACTGAGCCAGGGCGGCACCGGAGCGACACCCCGAGGCCCCTGCCCCACCTTAGCACTTTCACTGCGGAGGCCGACGTCCACGCTGGGGTTGCCCGGGCTGGGCGGACTCGGGCTCCTCAGAGTGCTGCTGCGGTGCCAGGCCGGCCAGCCCTGAGCCCACCCGCGGTGCCGGGGTCAGAGCCGGGCCTCCTAGCAGCACGAGCGCTTCCCACCGCGGGGGATTGCCGCGCTTCCCCGGTTAGGCTTCCGCTGTCCTGCTTTTCTGCCGGAGCCCGAACCCGGAAAGGAAAGAAGTCACAGGGACCGCGAGGCCAGAGACTGGGAGATGCCGGAGAGGGCGAGAGGCCCCTGCGCAGGGAGGGACGCGTCCCGAGCCCTGAGGCCCGCAGCCTCGTGGGCCTGACGCAGACCACCGCGCTGCTCTCCTCTTGGCCCTGTGCCCCCAGGGCTTCGGCAGTGGATGCCTGGAGACATCGCGCTGAGTGAATAAATCAGACTCGCAGCCCAGACATTCGTGGTTTCTCTGGCTCGAGAAGCCTAGGGTATCAGCAGAGCGCAAAGTAGGAGCGCGGCCAGGCAGCCTGGAGAGAAACGTTCCCCAGGGGAAGGGGAAGCGGAGCCAGAGGGGCCGGGAGGAGGGACAAAGAGAGCGAAGCTGCCTCGGGCTCAGTCCCCTGCCACCTCCTGAAGGTGCGCTGTCTGTGGGCAGAAGCGAAGCAGCAGGGCGTCCTCAGGACAGGAGCTGCGGTGTCGGGTTCTGGGCCCATCCTAGTGCCTTCCCTTCGCCTGCACTGGCCCCAGACGACCTTTGCGTTCCTGTTTTTTATACTGTGTAAGTCAACGGTACAAGAGGTGATAGAAAAATATAGTGTTTAAGTTAAAAAAGTATTCGAGTGAAAGGCACATTGCCACCGAGGCCCTATAGCCCTCCCCTGGCGTCAGACACACGGGTCCCAGGTCCTGCCACTTCCTGCCGGAGTTCCGGAAGTCCTCTCTCCTCAGCGTCTTTACCAGAATTCGGTGCCCCCCTGTGGAGAGCTGTCCAGCGGAAGGCAGCTCCTAAGCCGGTCCCGGTCCGCATCTGTCCGACTCAGGGCATCTGGCACGGGGCGGCTCCGGCTCTTCCCAGTCACTGGAGCGATGCAGGACATCGGGCAGCCAGGACAGTGCAATGAAAATGCCCAGGAGAGGGCTCCGGAGCCGCTGCTGGGTGGCAAGAGGATGGGAGGAGTGTGTGGAGCGAGGGGAGGGCTTTGAGGGGACGCGTGTCTTGCCCCGTTCATGCAGAAAGTTCAGCCACTCACCCCGTTTCCCGAGCACACCTGACTGTTCTATTTTTTGAGACAGGGTCTCACTATGTAGCCCAGGCTGGCCTCGAACTCTCAGCGATCCTCCTGCCTCTGCCTCCCAAGTGCTGGGGTCACAGGTGTGTGCCACCACGCTCAGCTCCTGGCATGTCGCAACTGCTCATCACGGGGTTCAGCGGGAGAGTCCCACACCTGCACGCAGCGTGCACGGACCAAGTCCAGCCCCTCTCCATGCTCCTCCACACCTCTCCAATCTCTGGTCATCACTGCTCTCCTTGACGTCTCCTTGTCTTTACTTCCACATAGGAGAGGGAACACGTGACACCTGTCTTCCTCGTCTGGCTTATTTCCCTTAACACATGTTCTCCAGCTCCATTTTGCTATACGTGGCAGGCCTTCATCTTCAGGGCTGAATGATATTCCAGTGTGTGTGTCGCCACATTTGCTTCATCCTTTCGCCTGTTGATGGGCCTGGGCTGGTCCCACTTTGGAGCTGCTGTGAACGGAGCTGCAGGAGACCCAGGGGTGCAGGGCCTGTCTCGTGTGCTGGTGTTGTTTCCACTGGGCATGCCCAGGAGTGGGGAACCCGCCCGTGGTAGCTAGTTCCACTTTAAGTTTGAGGCACCTCCATCCTGCTCTGCATCTGTTCTGCCCGTGTCCCCTTTGCCCGTGACGGGACAGAGCCTTGCTGCCTACGTCGTTGGCAGTGTTCAGCTGGATCTGGACAATGTCGCTCAGCTGGGGTGGGGCGGTGTGCACTACAGTGAAGGCGTTTCCTGAGGACTGTCCTGTATGCACTGCACACATGCACTCCCACAGCCACGCACGCACACGCACCCACACGAGGGCACACAGAGCTGGGTACCATGCAGCCCGGCATGTGGTGCCTCTGCCCAGCATCTTCCCCTGTGCCCCAGTAGGGGTGAACCCACGCCACAGCCTCCCCTGGGCGGACACAGGGCTCCCAGGCCCGCCAAGTCCCGCCTGGTGCCAGACAGAGAGGCCCCTCTGAAGTGCAAAGGCTTTGACTCTCTACCTCACCCAGCCGAGCTGGCTCTGCAGCTGCTCTGGTGCTGTCTCCTCCTCCCCTTGCAGCAGCGTAGGGTGCTGAGGCTCAGTGCTTGGACCCCGAATTCTGCAGCCAAGGCTGTGGGCACACGGCATGCCCAGTACAGCCTTAACCTTTCTGATTGATCTTGGACCTTCACATCATTTTTCTTTCTGCGTCAGTGGGTATTGCACCCAGAGCCTTTATAGTGAGCTAGGACCCCAGCCCTTTTCTTTTAACATTCTGTTTATTTATTTAGAGACAGGGTCTCACGAAGTCACTAGGTCGGGATCCTCCTGCCCCAGCCTCCTGGAGCGCATCACCACGGCTGGTCTGTCCATCCGCTCATCTGCCTCCATTGCTGGCACTGCTGTGGGCCCTGTGGGACTTGTGCCTGGCCCCACACAGGAGGCAAGGGGATCACACCCGCCTGCCTGCGGCACTTCCAGACTTCCGGCAGGGACCAGAGGGCCTGGTTCTTAATCTGAAACTCGGCTCACCCTGCAGGGCGCGCCCGGCCCGAGTGGGGTGGCCAGGGAGCTGCTTCTGGTGCGGCCTCCATGCCCTGCCGGGGTTCACCCTCGAGCTCTCCACGCCAGGCCCCACACCCACCTCTGTCCCTGTCCGCGCACGCTGTCATGGATGACACCACCCTCGCAGCTGCCTGCTGTCCTCGAGGAAGTTGGTCAGCACCTGGGCTCCCTCAGCGTTTAAGTGGACCCCAGAGAAATTCCCGACAGGAGGGCCGCTGGGTGTCCCTGTCCCCTCTGGAGCCCAGCGGGTGGAGCAGCACCTTCGCCGCCTTGTGGCCAGCACAGGAGGCTGGAGGGTGTGCAAGGCCAGGCCTCTGGCTCTAACAGCCGAACCTGCCTCAGTTCCCCGTGGTTCCTGACACTAGGCTTTCCCCGTGAGGAAGAAGCTGCCTGCCCGTGCTGGTTGGGCAGGAGGGAGGCCCGGGTCCACAGAGGA